AACACAAAAGTCAAGCTTTTATAACCAAAGCATGATATGCTTAGTAAAAGACAATGGATTTAATTTGTATACTTTGACAGCATAAATATTTTTATATTATCAGTATATTTTATCATGTTTTAGTATGTTACTTGCTTTTACTTTTTCAGTTTCTAATCTCAATTTTGAGTTCTATGCGCTGACACGTAAAAAGTAATTACACAATAAAGTCGCTTATGAGGTAATTACATGTAAATCTTTATGTGTGGCGATTAACCATCTATATCAGAAGTTATAATCACTGGCGTTAAATCTTTTTATACTGTTAGATAATTATGTAACTTACATCTCCATGTTTTTAAATAATTACAATTATTACTTCTATTGAGTGATTATAGAAGTTAAAAATCTAAGAAAGTGAGTCTCCGGATGTCTAATCGATTGCAACCTTAAAATTCAAGTACGATGTATCATTATTATTATTATTATTATTATTATTATTATTTTTATTATTATTATTATTATTATTTATTATTATTATTCATTTTTCATATTATGACCTAAAAACCTTATTTTAGTTGGGAAAAGAGACATCTTTGGTTTATATTACTAAACCATTTTGATTAACATTATTATTATTATTATTATTATTATTATTATTATTTTATTATTATTATTATTATTATTATTATTATTATTATTATTATTATTTTATTATTATCTAATCAAGTGGCGATATATTTAGGCATTGGAGATGTTGCCAAATTAGGCTTGCTCAAAATTCATCAGTCTCCGGTAATGTATTTGTTAACTAACTGAATTAAAAGTACATCGCTACTTAGCATTAAATTGTTGATCCCAAGATTTTTGACTTCTCGGTTAAAAAAGCTTGAACCATGGACAGATTCAGAATTTTATTTCTATAAATTCAACTTTTAAGATCTTTTTTTTAAACATAAAAAGTACTTATAATAATAATAATAATAAATAATAATAATAATAACAACTAGGTCCATGACCCTTAGCACTGTCGTTAATATTATGCCGCTATGGGTAAAAATAATGCCTTTGTAAGGCAATGTCATTACTAAAGCAGTCATATTACAACACAGGTCTGTAGAACAACTTCTAACATTAGATGTAACCATCCTGATCTTTTGATAGGCGTCTATTACAAACTCAGGTGGGTAAAACTAAGACACATAATTTATGTTAGCTGCATGAGCACTGCTTTTGCTCAAAGATGTGTACCATGTTTCCCTTTCGCGGAAGCTATGCTTCAATGTGATCTTCCCTTGCATGTTGCTTTGTCCATAACTACCTGCATTCATAAATTAAATATTGTAAGTTGGATAATCATCCTGAAGAAAACGTCTATGACCTCCGTGGCATCAATTTCTACTTCAACTGAAATATTTGTTCCCTGATGATTATTGAAGTGCATGCCGAAATGCTTGAAGTTTGCATTGGATTGGTGATATTGCTGTGTATTTTCTTGTTGGTAGCCTGTCCTCCATTGGCCCTTGTAATCGCGAAATAACTCCGCTGATTTCCTCCTTCAAGATAGTTGCTCCTAAAAAGCACCATCAATGTTGATCTTATACCAACCCCTAGGGAGGGCCTGCCACTTAACATTAATGCTAATTTTATGTTGTTAGTAATTGGCCCTGGACGTTTAGAAGTTTGTATTCCACAGTTTGGTCAATCACTTTTTTTTTTTTGTTAATATGGTTGTTGGTATTGTTTTATTGTTATGGTTTCGATTATTCCAAATGGACTTAGGCAAAGGGTAGTATAACTTTTAATATCTTCAATATTGAATCTATCTATTTTCAAACACTACAACAAATTTGACCTAAGTCACACTGTATAGACAATACTTGAAAAGTGTTGCCAAAAGTATCTGTGGGGACGCTTTATAAGGTGTGGCCTTTGTCAAGTACTTTGGATACAGATTTTAGGCAACACTTATGAAGCGTGGCTTTTAAACAGTAAATACTACACTTTTCAAGTGTTGTCAAATAATAAAATAATTGGCTACGCTTACTCAAATGTAATACCACGTTTATTGGGCGTGGTAATTTAACTTGTATAAGCTACCCCATATAAGTGTGCTCTAATTATTCCCTAAAATTCCACTTAAACTTTTCCCCTAAATCTTTTCCCCCCTAAATCTTTTCTGCCACCAAAAAATAATTATGCTTGAAAATATCCCACTAAGTTAAGTTTTACCCAAATCACATGAAAACTCCCGTACTTCTTCTTCCCTAAAACACGCTCTAGTCATCTAATTAAGCAGATTAGGGGTAGATTTTGTGGAAAGCTGCTGATGGAGATCCTTAATTTCTTCTAATTGCTCTTCTCAAAAGTCAAAACCTTCCTTATTTGGGTTTGGTGGCCATCAATTTCAATTGGGAAGTTCGTTTGCTTAGGGTTACAACTGCTAAAAACTTGTAAGTTTTTTCTATGAAATTTGCTTTCCGTTTAATAACTTTACAATTTTTGCTATCTGTTTGAAAGAAACTGTTGAAAAATATCATAATTGTCCTATTTTGTTGCTTAGTTTCTGTAGCAAATTTCGTGAGGGGACTAGACCTAGTAGTTATTATAGATTCTAGAGATGCAAGTTTTATTATTAGATTCTTTATTTTGCTTAAACCCAATTGCAGTTTCGAAATCCTATTTACTGCACTCTTCAATTCACCTCCAATTTCTGCGCCATCAGCAATCATCGCAATGTGCTCTCTTTTTGTCCCCCGGTATCACTCACATTAAATTGTTAAACCCTTCTCCTTTTCCCCAGCTAGTAAACCCTCTCGCTTTCTTTGTTACGTTTTAAGGCTTTTTTCTCTTCTCAAACTTCTGCTTCTACTCCCAAAAGTACATTCTTCTTTCTTTTGTTTTTTGTCCAATTTTTATAACATGTATCGAGCTTCTGTTTCTCTAGTTTGAAATTGTTTACCATTCTCTGAAGATTAATCTATAAGTAGCGTTGGAGTTTAAGAAATTTATTGTAAAATTCCTATTTGCTTTTTTGGAATAAGACATTATACCCTTTTGTTTATCTCCTCCACTAAGTGTCCAGAAAAGTAGATTATCTAAGACACAACTGGAATTTAACTAAGCCACTACATGGATCTGGATTGCTCTCTTATTGCACTGGAATTTAAGTTGTATATTAATCACCGATACTCAAATTACACGAATTTGGGTGTGCAAACTATACTGGGTGGCTACTTCTGGCTGTACTGTGATTATGTAGCAATCTAGTAGATGTAGAAATGGAACGAGGAAGCTTTTCTCTTCTTTTGTATGCGTTTGGTGGTTCTGGAGTGGGGACGAATCAATTTTAGTTTTTGGTCTATTTTATTAAGCATACAATACATTCCCGGCATCTTGTTGTCGTTAGAAAAATTGAAATTCTTTTGGACTTCTGGATATATAAAGCTCTGATATGTAAAAGCTGAACGGGAAGATGTTGAAGTACTTGGTGTTTAACAGGATGGGCTTTTTAAGTTGATTTGACAGGGCTGCTTAGAATTGAGTCTATTTTACAAAAGCATTAAAATATCGGGGCATATCTCTTGAGCCTAGCACCTCTAGGCAAGAAGAAAGTATTCTGGCAGCACGGCACCGTGTTAAAACTGAAATAGGATGAACTTATTGCTTATATCAGGATTTTGTCATTGTCAACAACCTGAATTTCCTCTTATAAGCTGTCGTTTTGCATTGAGTTATCTATTTCATATGCTATTTTTCAACTGGCAAAAAGTTTAGGTGTTGCATCTTGTGTGATTGGTGTTTTAGTTTGTGTGCAGCTGATGATACTCCAGCAAGCATTGGATTTCTAGGTCTTGGAATTATGGGCTCTGCTATGGCGCAAAATCTCATAAAAGCTATGTTGCTCGGACTCTCCAAAAGTGTTGCCGCACCCGTGTCAGATCCTCCAAAAATACACTAAATACGGAGGATCTAACACACACCCAACAATATTTTTGAAGAGTCTGAGCAACATAGCATAAAAGCAGAGTATGTTCCAATTATTCCTTGATAGACTAATTTAATGGATTTCAATGTGCTTTCATTTTGTGAACTTCATGAATCACTGGAAAGCGTTCATTTTTATCTTCAAACTCATCATCGTTGTTCTTCCTTAACCAGCAGAATTATGATTATCCTAAACTGGTGATCTTTCAGAAGCATGTGTTAATATGTGCATCTTTCTATATACTTGACCAGTCTAGTCAGCATCTTGATAGTAGTGCATTGTTTTTCCAGATGGATGTTGTTTGTGGAAAATATGGAGCTGCAAAAGGAATGAGTCCAGGAAAAGGGTACGATTTGCTTTGTCTCTGCTCTGGAAACTATAAGGTTTGGACATTACTGTTGCATCTTTAGCACTGAATGACGCGTATAGAATTCTGATAAGTGGTTGGGGGAAATTTTTTGTAAGCATAACAGGGTTTGGAAGTGATTCTTTTTTTCCTGGTGTTAGATGTCTGGCTTAGTTATATCTAGAAGCGTGAGGTTATGATAGTTAATGATGCAAGAAATTGGAACGAGAAGAAATGCAAAGTTGCTTGTACTTTAAAGGAACTAATTACAAGTTACACCATCGTGACATGCTCTAAGTCAATCTTTTATTCATATGCAAAGTTGGTAATAAAATTATCCTAGTGATTTCATATATTTGTTAAAATAGATATTGCATTTGCTGGACGCAAGTTTCTTTGGTTGCTATTCTATGGATTTCATACTGCTATCTGAATTTCATTTATGGCTTTGCACTCTAGTATATGTAAATGCAGTTATGCCAGTTAAACTACGCACGAAGGCGTAATTAATTTGGATTACTTGAACTTTATTCATAAATAGGACAACCTATTATTTGACAAACTACTGATTTTTAAATTTTTCACATAATACCTTATCTATATAAGTATACAATGAATTATAGCCACAGGCAATGCATGTAGTCCAGGTATTAAGACTATCAAAAAAATAAGAATTAAGTCCAAACCATGGCCGCAAACCTTTCAGATGACAACGTGCTGTATGAAATAGTTGCTCCACTGTTGGATATCATGGGGAAGGTCTCATTCTGCCCTTCACTGAGTGTTGCGACTCTTTCCACCACCTAATATTTTCTTCCTTTATCTCAGTCAAGATTTTACCTTGGTGAAGTTGGATATCGAGCTGCAATGAAGCTTGTGGTCAATATGGTTATGGGAAGGTTCTATTGTTGAATTCTTTCTCATCTCTTCATAGTTTTGTTCTTTCTAACTAAAGCAAATGTCAACCTTGCTTTCACAAAAAAATTTGCAGTATGATGGCTTCCTTTTCTGAAGGATCAGTACTTAGCGAGAAAGTTGGACTTGATCCAAGTGTATTAGTGGAGGTACTTCCTGATAAAACAAATAGCTTACTTTTGAGGCTGGCCCCTTGTGAATATGTTTCTTGCATCACTTTATCTTCTTGATGGTCAATAAATTACTTTGCGCAATCTCCTGTTCATTGCCTAGTCACAAATAACTCGTCTAACGATGAGAACAATATAACTAGAAACATGTTTTGTGCTCTTTAGGGTTTCTGAACTGGATTTTGGTAGGATTGACAATGTTGATAATTTCCCAAAGTATTATTTTTTTATATTTTCGAGGAAGATTGGTATTCCATGTCGATTGAAGTTGCTGAGACTTTACCTTTATTAGGATACGATTAGGCCAACCATAAATATAAAAAAGAAAAAGAAAAGAAAAAGAAAAAGAGAGGTTATGTCCTTGACCATGCTATTTGCTGAAACATATACTTAAAGGATGTTGAGCAACATCTGTGAGGCTGTTGAGTATGGAAAAGTTATAGAGATGGTTACTTAGTGAAATGACTGAACTGGCTTAAAAATAGCTCCATGAGTTTCGGGACAATGCATGATGTGAAAAATACTTAAAATCGATAATTGTCCACAAGTAAAAGTAATATTTGAGAACATATACGTGAACTCTTAATTGACTTTCTGATATAAAATCTGCTCATCGTCGTTTGAATTTCAAGCAGGGGTAAAAAGTTTCCGACTTTCTTTTTGCCTCTTTGATGCAAGGAGAACTTCATCCTCTCAATAATGACTTATTCAAGGGATTTCCTAGTATAAGATGCTCAGAAGGTGCATTGAACTTAGAAATATGTCTAATATCTGTTACTAATTTTGCACCATGCATATGTGATCTCGCAGGGTGCTATTAGTGCTCCAATGTACGCTACGAAAGGTCCTTCAATGGTTAAATCTTTGTATCCGACAATGTTTCCTTTGAAGCATCAGCAAAAGGTTTTCTAACATCCCAAGACTACCTCCTGTATGCAAACCTAAAGTTATCTTCTAACCAAAAAATATATGCTTGTCTCAGGGCCTTCGTCTAGCTCTGGGTTTGGCTGAATCTGTTTCACAACCCACTCCAATTGCTGCTGCAACTAATGAACTTTACGAGGTTGCAAAATCTCATGGTCTCAGTGACCAGGACTTCTCTGCAGTAATTGAAGCATTGAAAGTGAAATTGCAATGCGAAACATAAAAACAGGCTTTCCTGGTGACCTACGTTATTTTCCTTCACAGTCACAAAGCTTGGGTGCAATATGTCCACCATTATACAGGTAGATCTTTAGCTTCACAACTAATGATTTCATTGTTAACCCTCTTTTAAGGGACTACTATATTTTGTTTAGGAGAGTGAAATGGGACTACTATATTTTGTTTATTGTACTCATTAGTCAATTTTTATTTATATATGACTGAAAATATGCAAAACATGGTGCTACTATATGCTATCATAGTCTTTGTTCTTCTAGACGAACGATTACAGTTTAGTTTCTCTTTAATTATTAATTTTTTTATATATGTAGGAGAAAGCGGGTGATGCAATTGGAAATGGTATCAGAAAGTCAATTTGATCTTTAGTGTGAATGCAAATAATTTTTGGGATATTAAGATGTCTAATATTCATGATACTATATGAATACACTTACTTTTGAAAAGTTTATTGTTAATGGGCATTTTGACACACTATTTTATTAGTATGTATACTCATTTGAATTATTATTTTTGGTATTTATTAGCTAATTTAGTTCTTTATATCATCAAAATATATGATAATAATGCATATGCTTGAAATTATTGTAATTACATGCTATATGTAAAATGTAAATTTTTAAAAAAATAAAAATAAATTGTATAGCCTAGCCAAAATTGTCACGCTCTAAAAGTGTGGCTATATATCTGTACGTCTACCATGTATATAAGCAAAGACCACGTTTTCTAGGGGTTTCTTTAGAAGCCACGGTTAACAAGTATGGCCTAAAAGGTAACAAAGGCCACACCTTTTGTGTGTAGCTGTAGGGTATAAAAGCGTTGCCATATGGGGTGTAACAAGCGTTGTCTTTGTTAACTAATAGGCCATGCTTTTAAGCGTGGCTGGTAAGACAACATTTAAAAAGCGTGCCCTTAGGTCAAAGGTTACGCTTCTTTTGGCCACCCCCAGAAAAGTGTTGCCTAAAGTCGAAAAGTGTGGCCTTTGACCAAAGGCCATACCTTTTGCTAGTTTAGGCCACACTTTTTTGGGGTAGTCAAAGGGCTAAAATGTTGTAGTGAAAGTTATAGGTTCTATCTAGTTTGGTCAATCACTTTAATTTAAATGACACATTTTATTTATTAATCCGTTCCAAGAAGAATGACACGTTTATATATTTGGGAACAATTTATCTCTAAACTTTTTATTTTATCAACTTTACCATTAATGAAAAGATTTTAGAGCCACACAATGTTGACTCCCCACAAAGCTTTTGACTCTTAAGCTTTTAAGACTATATATTTCAAAAGTTTTTCTCTTTTTTTTTTCTTAAATTTTGTGGCTAGTCAAACTACATCATCTAAATTGAAACGAAAAGAGTTCTATTTATTGTAATTTTAGTGAATTTTTACATATAAATTTATAATCTCGTCGAAAATATTATATCAACATGAATACGATGTATAACGGAGGATCCGCCCCAAGTGGTAAACGTGAACACGTATGGTGGCTTTTGGCTAGTCGCAAAGAACAGAAGATGGCAATAGAACAACCACCAAATACCAACAAAGCATCAGCCAATTAGTAGAGGTTGTTGGCCGTTGATCGTTTATGGATATATACTTGGTAACCAAAGCTTTTTTATAGGATGAAAATGGCTGACGTTGATTAGAGGCAGAAGCAGCGATAGAAGATAGTCCTGTATGGCGGCAACTAGCAGCTCAGCAATTCAATCTGTCCTGTTTGTTTTTGATCCTTATTGAAGGTAAGTCTATGTTCGCACGTACGTCCTCTTATTTAATACTTCTATTTTTTCTTATACGAATGATTTTATCATCTGCAGTTGACTTGAATTAGCTGAGGTGATAGACGACGCTCCTCAAATTCGAAAGTTATTCTAGTTTCTGTGTAAGCAGTTAAATACTCCATTTTTGTAGTCAAAAATTGGAAATGTGGGAGCAAGAAAGAGCCCCGAAGCCTTTGAATCTTAAAATATTAACGTCTCGTAAAAAGCTAAGAGGTCGTCTGGTTCACAGTTAGTTACGTAAGGAGTATAAAACATGAATTATTTATATGCAAAATAATACATGTATTTATATGTGTGAATAATCACTTCCTCCGATCCCTTTTACTTGTTAATTTTTGGCTTTTGCATATATCTTTAAAAATATTAATTAAATGGATAATATAACTAAATTGTCCTTATTTTTTAATCTCAATTTATTGCTACTTTTACTTTCACTATAATCTCTCTACAGTTTATAGAGTAAAGATGAAAAGATTAATTAATTCTTTCTTGATTTATAAATGTCAAGTATTCTAGATCAGTTATTATCTGTTGGAATCGCATCTATGAAGCTTCAATTATCTAATTCTTCTTTCACTTCTCATAAGAGAGAAGACCAGTCGACTATGAAGAGGAAAGAGGCAGATGGATTTGGGGATAGGGCCCAGAAAGAAGAAAATGGTCCAAAAGTTGAAGACCCAAGCCCAAATTCTGATTTTGGACCCAAGTCCAGTCGATTGGAAACAAAAGACAACTGTAATAAAGCTCTAGATATGCCTAACGGTATACATAAATTTGTATAAAGTTGTACATAGTACATAGCTGTAATTTGTTTGTATTTAATAGGCAATAGGTAGTAGGCAAGTGTAAATTTTTCTTTTGTTCTCATCTGCTACAATACTTGGATAAATACCAGAGATTTTACATCAATGAGATATACAGAAAAAATTCTCTTAAATTTTGCTCTTTCACTCTCTACATGGTATCAGAGCAACAACTCTAAAGAATCGATCCTTTAGTTTTTTTTCAGTTCATTTTCATCTTCACTCTACCATCTTCAATGAGTTCTGCTCCTGAAACAATTGAGGCCACTTCAGCAAGTGTCACCACTTCTGGAAATAATGGAGGTGGAATGAAGGACTCAAGTCATCCCTACTTCCTTCACCCCTCAGATTCATCGGGAATGAACTTGGTAAACACAAGCTTTGGTGGTAGAAGCTATGGAGGGTGGCCCAGGTCCATTCTTATTGCTCTTTTTGCCAAAAATAAGATGGAGTTCATAGATGGAACCTGCATTGCACCAAGCTCAGAAACACCTGACTTTAAGTTATGGAGTAGGTGTAATGACATGGTCATATCTTGGTTGTTGAACTCCCTTTCTAGAGAGATTGGTGAAAGTGTCATCTACTCCAAAACAACCAAAGATCTGTGGGATGATATGGAAGACAGGTTTGGTTAGTCAAATGGTGCAAAAATGTATCATTTACAGAAAGAGTTAAGTGATTTGGCTCAGGGGTCAAGTGACATAGCAGGGTATTTCACTAAGATTAAGAGGCTATGGGATGAGCTAGATACCTTGAATACTCATGTCAAGTGCTCCTGTGAATGTAGCTGTGGGGGAAAGATAAAAATGGCCAAATCACTTCAGGATGAGAGGCTAATTAAGTTTCTCATGGGGTTGAATGACATCTATGCCTCAGTGAAGAGCAGTATCTTGATGTTGTCACCCCTTCCAACTGTGGGACATGCCTATTCCCTATTAATGCAAGATGAGAAGCAAAGGAAAGTTTATGTGAACTCTCAATTCCTTGGAGATTCTTCATCCATCACTACGACGGAAGTTTCAGCAACTGTTACATAACCGTTGCCACAGATCCTCTATTGCAACGGTTTTAACCGTTACCAAAGGTTTTGGATGATATTGATATTAGTACACTTTAGCAACCAAACCGTTGCCATTGTATAATAACTGTGCCGTACGTTTTCCAATAGCCACGGTTTCTTTAACTGTTACAATATATCTATCAGTGGCAGCGGTTTTTTCCAAAAAATATTTATACGAAAGGTTATTGTTCCCTCCTTAATTTTTTCGCGTAGCCCGCCAGATCTAGTACTCTGTCTTTAAACCTTTTTACCTTTTTATTTTTTTTAAATATGTAATATGTAATATAAAGTCAAAATCCACAATTTTTATTTATTTTCTAAATAAAAGTAGATGTGGCCTAGCTCCAGTTACGTTTTTTCCCCAAATCTGAACCCTTTTCTCTTTTCCTTTATCTCCAATAAAGTTCCCCCCCCCCACCCCAATTACTCTAATCGTACCCATTTTCCCCTTTTCATTTTACTCTAGCTCCAGTCATATTTTCCCCAGATCTGAACCCTTTTTACTTTTCTCTTATCTCCAATTACGTTTTCGGTTTCCCCCAATTCACTCTAATTCCTCAGGCCATTTTCCCTTTTAATTTCTCTCTTTGAAATCCCTCAAATCCAGTAGTCCGGTGAGAGATCTCCAGAAGATCAGTGTCCGTTTTGCTAACATTCAGACTATCTTCTCAGTATCGTCTTATTCAACCCATGAACTCGGAAGTCGGTGATTTCTATAGCAAACGCAAAAGGCACTCTGTACAAAATTAATTTTAGTTGTAAGTTTTTCTTTTTCAATTTGGGTATTTTCTTCTTTAATCGTTCCCTTTTTCTATAATATTTAGGGTGTGGTAGTGCATTTAATATCTTGCTTTCTATTGTTTTTTTGAACCCCAATTGTTAAAGTTTTATTTTCGTTAAGATGTGGCTACTGTGAGTCTAAATTTTAAAACTAATATTCCTGTAGAAAATCTGCCAAAGATGACTTTTCAAAAAGGTCAGTGTTTTAGTAATGCTTGCTTTGTCTTGATTTATTGACACTCTTATCTTAGTCTATTTTTCTGTAATTGCATTCACTCTATATTTGGATTTTTCTAGAAGTTGACTCTCAGCATTAGTATATGGATTTATGCTATCAATTGGCATAAACTATGTTTCATAAGGTCTTTGAGTTGAATTTTGATGCCATTCTGATAGGGTGTAATCTATGAAAATTTCTTATCGTTCATTACTGGTTTGTCGAGTTGGTAAACCTGTTCTAAATTTAGAGTGTTAACTCCTGAGTTTTCGAGCTCGAGAGCGTTGTGGCTTATGATATGGTGCTAAAAGTCTTAAATTCAGTATTAAGGTAAATGCTTAAAAATTAAACTAGTTGTACTACCTCACTCAAATCCAAAATTTATTTCGTGAGATGAGAATTTCCCAAAATTATATTTAAAAATTATTATTTATTTGCTCGATCGTGCAGGATGACTTGCATGAAGCACAAGATGAGGATAAGAATGAAATTGTAATCATCATGCGTCTACTTTTTCCTAACAATTTGGTTGGATGCCTTTTAGGAAGAAAAGGCGATGTTATTCAGAAATTGCAAAGTGCGACTGGGGCAAGCATTCATGTTCAATCTGCTGAGCATCTTCCAGTTTGTGCTATGACCATTGATGAACTGGTCCAAGTATGTTTCATGTTCTTTTCTATGGGTGCACAACTTATTTAGTTTCTTTGTTATTTTAATGTGAATGAGCTTTGAAATGAGCTTTTGTTACTTGGAGAGTATGATAATGTAGAGGAGAAAGGGGAAGAGTACCGTTAAACACTTAAACTAATTGTTCATCTGTACTGATCTTAGTTCTGCATGCAGCAGTTACATTATGTTGTTGCCCTGTTGTACATTTTTTTGGTCCTATGGTTATCTTCAAGCACCTACTGGTCCTGATTCCTTAGTCCTAGAATATCTTCTGCTTATCTTCAAGCATCTACTACTAGTCCTGATTCCTTAGTCCTAGAATGTCTTTTTATAATCTACCAATGGTAGCTATTCAACGATTTGTACGCTAGACCAGCTGTCCAGTAGCTAATGGTTATCTGACTGCTAGTTTCCTCATTTATCTTTTATCTTGAAAAACAAGGAGCCCCTTTGACAAGCTGAAAGTTTCTGTGCACTTAATTAATGTCTACGCTCTAAATTTTGCAAGTAGTAACCGTGCTAATTTTTTGTTTCTCTCTCTCTCTTTCATTTTCCATAGTGCCGGGTCTATATGTTGTCTATCGCGTTTGCTTTGCATCTACTTTCTTATTTTCATGATGTTATTTTTCTTATGATTTTTATTGGTGGTACGGTTATTGTCTCTTTTCGTCTTCTTGAGCCGAGGATCTTTTGAAAACAGGCACTCTACTCCCTCGGGGTAGGGGTAAGTTCTGCGTACACACTACCCTCCCCAGAACCCACTAATGGGATTCTACTGGGTCATTGTTGCTGTTGTTGAGGATAAGAATGTCTGTCTACTATTACAAACAAAATTTGAACAAACAGAAACAGTGAACGCACAAATAAAAATGTTTTCAAGTTTCCCTGCTTGTAGAGTTTGAATGAGATTCAACTACTTAACATCATATGTTTATGAGTAGAAACTTGCATGATATTAGGTATTAGAGAGGATGAAATTTCAAGAGGATGAAATCACTTCAACTCTGCTAACTATCGGTGAACAGACACACTAGCCACAAAGCTCATAATCAGGGAGTATGCTTAATTGGAAAACTAAAATGTCTCCTCCACATGTTGGCAAGGGATGTAAAATGCAGTTAGTCACACGATAATTCTCCTGAGTTCCTCTCCATGAGTACAAACTTAGTATATTTATACATTGATTTAAAAAAAATTCAACTTTGTAACTCAAGCAGAACACGATGTGTGATATACTGGTGGGGAACTGATATAATCCATCTTTATTTCTCCTCACGATATACAACTGATTTGCTGTCACATTATTGAAGCTTATTTGAGCATCACTTTTCTGGTAACATTGTTGAAGAAATAAGAAACTTTGTATTCTGTTGACTAAGAATGCAGGAAAGGCTCAATGCACAATAGGGTGCTATGGAACAAGATATTATAATGAATGTCCTTGCACGACTTCAGCGTCGACTTGATCCTAACATGCTAATATTACGAGCACTGGAGAAGCTTCCTCTGCACAACAAACTGCTGTTCAACTAAACAATCGTCCATCTGCTGGCAGTAACAATCAAGGTATATCCGCACCAAAAGTTATACCTCTTCTCTTTCTTCTTCTTTTCCTCTTTTTTTATGTTGTCACTGTTGCAATTTTCACTATTACCAACTAATTTGTTTGTTCATTGGGGTTTGATATCAAAACCTTCGAGCACTGAATTTCATTTACGTTCTTTACAGTATAGCGGGTAGAACCTAGATATTCAGTTGTAAAAGAGGAATTTTAACCGTTTACAGGATAAAGTCTAGATCTTTTTCAAATTTATTCTCTTGGGTCAAGAAAACTTGTGTTGAAAACTTATGTAATCACTTTAAAGCCAAGCATGATTATTCTATTTGGAAGAAGGGAGTAATATGCTGCACGATAGAGGAGAAATCTACAACAAGATGGAACAATAAATCTTGAAGTACACCTTCCTCAGGAATGGACGTACTGACTTTCTTTATTATTAACATTAAAGGTTTATCCAGAAATGATCTTTAGGTTAATTTTCTTTTGGTGTTAGGAAGGATTTCATGTAGAAAATAGATAGTCCAGTGACAGAATATCTGAAGTCAGTGTTTTGTGAAAAACAAAATCTCTCAATTACAAGGAAATGGTTTCTGGTAATCAGAAGAAAGGAAATAAGTGAGGTTTAGTTTCTTTAAGCTTAGTCTATTATAATATGAAATGTTAATGACAATTGTCCTTAGGAGTATTTTATTTTGGGTGCCTGATGAAGAAGCTCGAGCAACACATAACAGGGGAGTTTCCCTCAATTTTTGTTTGTATAATAAGTGAAATGCATCTTGTGTTTTTACAGGTTGTTTGATAACTAGCTTTTCTTTGAATATTTTCATGTATAATGCACAATATTTTATAAACTGTCACATATTCTTATCTTTAGGTAAGTGAAACACCCTTCAAATTCTTGTTTGATGCACTCCCTTGGTTTTTTGGACTAAGAGAATGTTTAGATCGGATTCTCTCGAAGGATAATGACTTTATTTATACTCTTTTGTAGGTGGAGTAGATGAAGAAATGGAAGATAGAAACAGTGAAGATCTAGACCTTACTTAAAAAGAATTTTGAATTGCTGTAGATGCATGGTCTAGAAATGTTTATTATTAACATTTTGAAACTTACTTTTTAACTCTTTAAATGTAAGACTTATGTACTTGGGGTGGAACATTTCACTCTTATGGATATTATTAGCTTGTTGGACAATTTAGATTATGAATAGTTTCATTTTGTTATTGATATAAGTTTTTGTGCTTTATAATTTATTCTATATGTAAATATTTATTTACAACAGGGGCAATATGTTTGTTTCAATTAAACTGTTACAATAGCCCACTAGAACCGTTGCAGTAGGAATCATATGGCGTTCCAATAAAAAATGTAAACCGCTGCAACAGGACCTGCAAATTATTCCAAAAGGATCTATAAACCGTTGCCATAGGTAGTTCAGACCGTTGCAATAGCTTAAAGAAATTGTTGTCATTTCCATAAATAGCCGTAGCAATACCTTACAAAACTGTTGCAGTACACGCTATGGTAACGGTTATCAACCGTTGCATTAAATGGTATGGTAACAGATTTTAGCCGTTGCACTTAATACGAATAGTCGTTCCAATAGGGCAAAGGAAAAACCGTTGCGATAGACCATATTATAGCAACGGTTATATGAACTGTTGCAAGAACCGTTCCTTAAGCTCTATTGGCACGCGAGCTGGTGAAATGGGTGCTGAACCGTTGCAGTAGCTCTATGGCAACGGTTTACCTATCTATTGGAACGATCATCAATGCTTTGCCATAGGCACACTTTCCAGTAGTGCTTCATGGCTGCAAATCAAAATCATCCAAGTCAGAAGTTTGGGAAGTCTGATTTCAAGGGAAAGAAAAACAATTTGGCCTGCTCTTACTATTAAAAACCTGGGCATTCAATAGAAAAATGCTACAGGATCATTGGATTTCCGGCAAACTTCAAGTTCACAAAGTCAAAGAAGTTCCAAGCACCTGTTAAGAGCAATGCAACATATTCTGTGAGTGAAGCAGGAGAGCAAAGCATTGTTGATGGAATTAATGGAAATCAACAACCCACACAAGATCAAGTTTCTCAGCTAGTTCAACTTGTTCAACAGGTGAAGGGTGGTCAGACAGTATCTTCAAGCTCAGATGTTGTCGCGAATGTTGCCAACTGTGCAGGTATAGCCTTTAATGGGTCAACTTCTAAATCTTCTCATTTCAAAATCACCTCCTGGATATTGGATTCATGAGCTTCTAAACATATGTCTTCGGATCCTACAATTTTTTCGACTATCAGACTTCTTCCAAAACCTTTAATGATAAATCTTCCTAATTCGTATAGAATTAGAGTTACTCACATTAGAGATGTAACTATTCCTGGTAATCTGACTCTAAAAAATGTCTTATATGTGCCTTGTTTCATATACAATCTACTTTCAGTTCACAAAATTTGTAAACAATACAATTGTCTTCTAATCCTTTCTTCTAATGCATGCATGATATAGGGCCTATCAGTGAGGATCCCCTAGGGTCTTGGTGAAGCAAAAGGGGGAGTCTATCTGCTAGATTCTTCAAGCCATAGGTCTAGGAAGTCATCTGAAAACAATGTAGTTTCATTACCTAAAGCAAGACAGTCTGGTCATGCTATTTCCCTCTTTCTTTTCCTGTAAAAGTTAACTCCAATGTAAGGCTGTGGCATCTTAGATTAGGCTATATGCCATTTTCTGCAATGAAAAACATTAATGTTCCTTCTATTTCATCTTCTTTATCCAATGTTAATTATCAATGCAGTATGTGTCCTTTAGCTAGACAAACAAGAATTCCTTTCCATTCAAGAAATATCACCAGCAAACATATATTTGAACTTATTCATATTGATGCGTGGGGGCCATATAAGACAACTACCTATAATAGATATAGGTACTTTCTTACTATCGTTGATGATTATAGTAGGGGAACTTGGACTTTTATTTTAAGCACAAAAAGTAATGCTTTTTCAGTATTAAAGGACTTCCTGGCCATGGTAGAAAGACAATTCTCCACCAAAGTTAAAATTATCAGATAAGACAATACACTGGAATTAGGTGCAAGTTCAACAGCCTCTGAGTACTTAGTTTCTCGAGGGATCATACATCAAACTTCATGCACTGCTACCCCTCAACAAAATGAAGTTGTTGAGAGGAAACATAGACACCTTTTAGAAACATATAGGGCTCTATTGCACCAATCTAAACTTCCTATTTCATATTGGGGAGAATGTTTACTCACTGCCACTTTTTTGATCAACAGATTTCCTTCTAGAGTAATTAGAAACAAGACACCTTATGAGATTTTGTTTGGTAAAGCTCCTAATTATGATTTCCTTAGATTATTTGGTTATTTGTGTTATGCCTCAACTCTTTCTCATAACAGGGACAAGTTAGGGGCAAGGGCTAATGCTTGTGTGTTTATTGGGTACCCTTATGGTAAGAAGGGATACAAACTCCTAGATTTTAATACCAAGAAGATCTTTGTTTCTAGAGATGTGCAGTTCCATGAATCAGTTTACACCTTTTCTTTACAATCAAGTTCTCTTCCTATGTTCCCTGGATCTATCTCAATTATTGATTTGGTTGACAGTAATTCTGATGACATCAATTGTCCTTTCAACTCCACTCATCCTATTTCTGATCCTCCTACTCCAATTCATTCTTCTAGCCCCATTTCTCCTTCTAATCCTATTTCAAACCAAAGATAAGAATCTCAAATTTATCCTACATCACAGTCAGATAATTCACAACAAGGTACATCTCCACTAGTCTTGAGAAGATCAGATAGACCTCATATTAGACCAGTCTATATAAATGATTATCTTTGCAATAGTGTTTACTTAACTACTTTAACTGATTCATGTTTTAATCACCCTGTTAACCCTACCATTTTTTCCTTTGCTGGAATTTCCACTATCAATCAACACCTTATCAACTCTATTTCAAATATAATTGAACCTACCAGTTTTTCCCAAGCTAATATGTATCCAGGTTGGCAACAAGCAATGGACACTTAGTTTAAAGCACTAAAAGCCAACCAAACTTGGGAAGTTGTGTAATTACCACCTGGAAAAAGGGCTCTCCCTTGCAAATGCGTTTACAAAGTAAAACATTATGCAGATGGAAGTGTATAAAGGTTGAAGGCTAGGTTGGTTATTCGAGGTGACATTCAAAGAGAAGGAGTCGACTTTAATGAGATATTTTCCCCAGTGGTAAAAATTACTACCATACGTTGCCTTTTTTGCTGTTGCAGTAAAGAAAGGATGGGGAATATCACAGCTAGATGTAAACAATGCTTTCTTACATGGGGAATTACAGGAAGAGGTATATATGAAGTTTCTAGCAGGAAAATTCCACCTAGCCCCAACCATGTGTGTTTACTTTGCAAATCGCTTTATGGTTTGAGGCAAGCCTCGCGCCAATGGTATACCAGGCTAACAACCACATTAAACTTCAAAGGGCTTTATTAATCCCTTAACGACTATTCACTTTTTTATAAGAAATCAGCAGATTCAATTTCAATCATAGCAGTATACGTTGATGAAATACTACTTACAGGAAATAACAAAGAAGAACTTCATCAATTGAAAAAATTTCTTCACAAGGAATTTCAGATCAAGGACCTAGGTAACTTACACTATTTTTTAGGTCTGGAGACCCTTCATGAGCCACAGGGTTTAGTCATCAGCCAACGAAAGTTCACTTTGGAAGTTCTTAATGAATTTGACTGTAGTAGTTTGCCCTCTCTTACATCTCCGGTGGATCCTTCATGCAAGCTTAGTAGTGAATCTGGTGACCTTCTTTCTGATCCAACTGTCTATCGCCGACTCCTGGGCAAGTTAAACTATCTCACTCACACAAGACCAGACCTTTCTTATCCGGTACAACACCTCAGTCAATTCATGCAGCAGCTCCGGATGCCTCATTTTAATGCTGCCCTACGAGTGATTCGATATCTCAGAACCAACCCCGGACAAGGTATTTTCATGTCCTCTGATCCCTCCTTCAAACTACTTGCAGTTTGCAATGCGGATTGGGGATCTTGTGTTTATTCACACGGATCTATCAGTGGTTATTTTATCACTCTCGACTGATCTCCAATTTCATGGAAATCAAAGAAGCAAGCTTCAGTCTCGCTCTCATCCGCGGAGGCAGAGTATCGACCTATGAGGAGGGTAGTTGCCGAAGTAACTTGGTTGACTCGACTTCTCATAGATCTAGCTACACCACCTTCTCTTCCGATCACTATTCATTTGATTCACAAGCTGCAATTCACATCACTCAGAACCCCGTATTCCACGAGAGAACGAAGCACGTTGAACTTGATTGCCATTTGTAAGGCAACAATTTCTCTCTAGTTTGATTTCTCTGTCATTTGTGACATCATCCTCTCAATTAGCCGATATCTTCACCAAACCACTATCTGGGCCATCCCACAATTCAATTCTCGGCATGTTGGGCGTCGCTACACTCCCCTCCAACTTGAGGGGGGGGGGTGTTGGAATCGCATCTATGAAGCTTCAATTACCTAATTCTTCTTTCACTTCTCATAAGAGAGAAGACCAGCCGACTATGAAGAGGAAAGAGGCAGATGGATTTGGGGATAGGGTCCAGAAAGAAGAAAATGGTCCAAAAGTTGAAGAACCAAGCCCAAATTCTGAGATTTGACCCAAGTCTGGACAATTGAAAACAAAAGACAACTGTAATACAACTCTAGATATGCATAACGGTATACATAAATTTGTACAAAGTTGTACATAGTACATAGCTGTAATTTATTTGTATTTAGTAGCCAATAGGTAGTAGGCAAGTGTAAATTTTTCTTTTGTTCTCATCTGCTACAATACTTGTATAAATACCAAAGTTTTTACATCAATGAGATATACAGAAAAAATTCTCCTAATTTTTTTGTTTCACTCTCTACATTATCAACCCCAAAAGGTACCAACAAGGGTTATGGTGGAGTGGTACATACTCCTTCATCCTTAACCAGAAAGGTCTCGAGTTCGAGCCCCAGGGTATGGAGTCGCCTTTGTTTGGGAGCGCTTTACCCACAATGCGAGACTTCTCGGCGCGAATCCGGATTTAGTCGGGCTCCAATGTGGGTACCGAACATCGGGTGGGAAACCAAAAAAAACCTCAAAAGGTAGCTAGTCCGTCATTAAGGAGACAACAACATTAAATTCCGTTATTAATACAAGAACACAATTTAAAAACTTAAATACAAAAACTAGTTCAAGAAGTCAAGGATTATCACTAGCTAGCTCTCAAGGAGTTGAACTAAGACAATTCGAATCAGGGGCGGCTCAAAAGTATTTGGGGCCTAAAGCCAAACTTCAATGAGGGGCCCTAAGTTTTTCTACATAAAAACTTATTTAATAAAATTTTATTTGAAATTTATTTTTCCATCTTTTTGAGATGTAAAATTATTAATATTTTATTTATAACCGATTTCTTCACTAGGATTATATATGTTTCTACTTTCTAGGATTATTGTTCAATTCTATTAGGATTTTCTGATTTTCTAAAAGATCTATATTAGACTCTCACCAACTTCTTCTTCTTCTTCTTCTTGGATTCCATTATCTTCTAGCTTAATTATATTAGTGATTTGTTCATCTACCATAAATTCTTCCTCCTTTTGGGGATTGTATTAAAGTTTCAATTCTTCTCACTTTTCTTGGAATTTTTAATATACGAATTCATAAATTCTTGTTGACATATTAAATTTCTAATAAATAAATTTTTAAGATACAAACAAAAGATATACAAAAATAACAAATTTTAGATGCAAAATAATAAGAAAAGTACAGAACAATTGTACCTGGTGAAACAAATATAGATAACTTGATATTACTTTTGATGCTTATTTTTGGCAATGCCCAAGCTTGACAAAAATAACAGTTCGCAATTGCTTTCTGCTATCATTTTGACAGAATGTTCTTTGATATATGATAGATTTTATTGAATGGCTCAACAAATAGAGAGCCAATATTGCTTGTATTTATATGATATGGAAACATGCATAATGATAAGTATATCACCTACAAAGATAAGTATTAAGAGTCCATCACATACATGGGATAATTATAAATATTAGATAAATTATTAGAGTCCTAATGTCACGACCCCAGTTCGTCCTCCGTGAACATGTCATGATGGCACCTAGTCCCTACGACTATGTAAGCCTAACAATGCGGAAAAACAACATAACTTGCGGAATAATTAATTAAAACTGAACAACTAAACGGAACTGTATATAAATGCTACCCGGCATGTACAACTCCATAATGCGGAAGTCTACAATATCACCCCAAAACCCGGAAACTCACGGGAAACACAGGCAAATAGAAGAGTAATACACCGCTCTAACTCCAGAATGTCTAAACAACTGAAAGAAAGGAAAGACTATCTACTAAAGCTGGAATAAGATAGAGACTCCTGGTCTGCGGACGCGGCAGAAGTACCTCGAAGTCTCAGCTAGATCTCTCCGCCTCGAGAGTGATACGCCTGGGATGAAGTACCTGGATCTGCACATGAAAAATATGCGCAGAAGGGGCATGAGTACACCACAGCGGTACTCAGTAAGTGCCAAGCCTAACCTCGGTCGGGTAGTGACGAGGAAAGTCAGGGCCCTACTGAGATAAAATATAATAATAAGCCTTGCAACAGTATGAAGTAAACAGAAATAATGAATAAACTTATGAAGTAAGGCAAGTTATACGAAGCAACAATAACACGCAGAGAATAAGGTAACACAGAGTAAGACAACTCAATATTAGTACCAACAACGAGGATCTCCCAGGATACCGTCCCGTAGTCCATTTCATCAACTGTCCGAGGAGCTCCCGGGATACCGTCCCGTAGTCCACCATATGAGTATATCCAAAGGATCTCCCGGGATACCGTCCCGTAGTCCAACATATGAGTATATCCGAAGGATCTCCGGGGATACCGTCCCGTAGTCCAACTATCAATGTGCGGGGATCTAGCGGGAATCTAACCCGTAGACCCAAAGTAAACAAACAAGGGGGGGGGGGGGGCTACCGGATTCCCACATCCGTAGTCCCAATGTAAATGCGCAACCACAACCAGAAGATATTCAGAAATGAAGTACAAAAATACAAGCAACAGGTAGTACTAGCCTAACATGCTTCACCTAGTACAGTCAAGGCAACTTAAGCAAATAGGCAATTTAAATCAACTAAACATGTTTTTCTAATCTAACACAGGTTATAATTGCAAGTAAAATAAAGCAAATACGAAAGGAACTCAGTCTCAATATCTTAAGTAAAATCGGGTTTTCAACAATTGGCTTAAGTACGCGCTCGTTACCTCACGTACAAGGCATTCAATTACCAAATATCATATCCTAAGGGGAAAAGTCCCCCACACAAGGTTGGACAAGCCACTTACCTCAAGTCGGCTCTAAAATCAACTCGAAACCACACCTTTGCCACGAGTATCCGACTCCAAATGGCCCAAATCTATTCAATTCAATTACAATATCGTAAATAACATCTCAAGCAACTGATTCTACTATTAAATTTAAAGCTAAGACGCGAATATAGGTAAAATGACCAAAACACCCCTCAGGCCAACGTCTCGGAATCGGATAATTTTCACATTTTCAGAACCCTCGTACTCTCACGAGTTTAACCATATAAAAATCTCTCAAATCGGAGGTCAAACACCCACTCAAAACTCAATAGTTTTGTCTATGAAGTTTTCCCCATTTTTCATTCAAAAATCCAAAATTAAGGATGAATTCGTGATTAGATTAGTGGGTTTTAAGCATAAGGGAGAAGAGAATCGTTACCCAGTAGTTGCCCTCGAAAAACCTTCGAAATTTCTCCCAAATCCGAGCTCCCAAGCTTGTGTTTTGATAAAAATGGCAAACCCTTAGTTTTGAAATGTTTATAACTGCCCAGGCCCATTATGCATCACGAACGCGGAAGCAAGGTCGCGTTCGCGAAGAAGAAAAATTGAAGCTGCCAAAAATGCCCTTCGCGATCGCGAGAAGAAGAACGCGAATGCGAAGACCTGGGCTCACTAAGCTACGCGAACGCGGCAAGGGTAATGCGAACGTGTTGAGTAAAAATAGGCTCAGCCCTCAGAGACAAATAAAGCTTTGCGAACACGATGGCCCTGACGCGAACGCGATTGAGGAAAACGTGAAGCTTCGCGAACGCGAAGGACTAAACGCAAACAAGATGAGGAAAAACTGGTCCTCCTCCAGAATTACTCTACGCGAACGCGTGGAGGAGGACGCGAACGCGTAGAAAAAGAAGGTCAGAGCTACGTGAACGCGATAGGAGCATCGCGAACGCGAAGAAGGAAATGGAACCTGCAACTGCTGTAGGATTTCTGCAACTTTTTCAAAACTCCAAAATGCTCCGTTGAGCATCCGAAACACACCCGAGGCCCCCGAGACCTCAACCAAACCTACGGACATATCCCATAACATCATTCAAACTCGTACCAATCCTTAAACCACCTAAAACAACGCCGGAAACCCGAATTAATCAAGGATTTGAGCCTAAGAACTTCAAATTTCATCAAAATACACTTTCGATCAAAAACCTATCCAAAACACATCCGAATGACCTAAGATTTTGCAGACACATGCCAAATGACAGGACGGAGCTACTACAGCTTCCGGAATTCCATTCCGACCCTCGGATCAAAAACTCACTATCGGACCGGAAACTTCAAAAATATTCAACTTCGGCATTCCAAGCCTAAATTAGCTATGGACCTCCAAAACACATTCCGAACACGCTCCCAACCCCGAAATCACCTAACGGAGCTAACGGAACCATCGGATTTTTGTTCCGAGGCCGTCTTCACACTGTTCTAACTATGGGCCATTCTTCCAACACTTACGCTCTCATTGAGGGACTAAGTGTCCCAAAACTCTTCGAAACTCAAAACTGAACGTCCCGGCAAATCAAGATAGCAGAAATAAACTTGGGGAAAGCAGTTAATAGGGGATCTGGGCGTTAATTCTTAAGACGACCGGCCGGGTCGTCACGTTCTCCTACACTTAAACATTCGTTCGTCCTCGAACGAGCATAAAGACATACCTGAAGTA